AGGACTGACATGGGGGCTGGGGGAACTAAGTTAAGAGGCAATAAAAAAGGTACACTGCTCTGAAACAGATGACAAATAGAACTACTTAAAAAGAATATATGATTAGGTATTATTTGCATGACAGGAGTCCAAAATAAGAGCTGCATAGTAGACTGTGTGTGTGTGGGGGAATGTACAACAATAAAATATTTTTTTTCCAAGAGAAAAGCGAACAGGGTTGGGGAGGGGGGTGGGCAGGGAGGAAAATGTGAAACAATGAATGAATGTAAATCCAAGTTCTCTATAAACTTTCTTTAAAATTTCAATTAAAAAAACCCCTTAAAAATATACTGACAAAAAATAGTACTGAAAACTGTTGCTAAACTTTTTAAAAATAAAAGTTAATTTTTATTTATAAAGAAAGAATAGCCAAAGCTTAACTGTATATGCCACTGAGAGACTCCAAAAGTGATCCACAGCATTATAGTATATTTACTATCTAACTTTTTTTAAAAAAAATTTGTCCCCGTCTGAATTTTAAGAGACAAATTTACAATTCTCTTATGCCGTAGATAAAATGTAGTGATTGCAAAGTAATGATTTTTTTTTTACTGTCCATATAAATCTTTAATGAGGTATAATTATGTAACAATTGAGGTAACAACTTGCATAGCTGTTTTTATAAAAATGATTGTAAACCAAAGCCATTTTATACTCAAACTGCATTTTTGGCACAAATGATTTGTCTGTTACATGTTCTCATTGCACTTCATTATCAGCTGCCTCCATTAATTTTCAGAAATTTAAAGAAACATTTGCCAGCTGAAAGTTATAAATGATCTTGTTAATACTGAGCCGTTTCATAAGTTATCTGTATCTACAGAGGATAGCAGCCTCCCCTTTCTGGATATTAAAGAGGTTAGGGTTAGTTTCATAGAATTTTTGCAAGTTATGTGGAGGCCTGGTGGATGAGTTTGTAAGCAGCTTATACCTCCTAGTATTTGCATTTTCCTAGCAGTAAGGAATCAACTATATTCTGTGGACATGAAATACTAGATGTTACCCAGTTGTCAATTTTGAGTGATTCTCTGCCCTATGCAATTTTCTTAATTTATCTGTATTAACTGTAAACCTCAAGTTACAATACAGTACAGTGTCTTTAAAAGAGTGAATCATAAATAAAATGAATTCATACCAAAGTAAATATTTTTTTGATACTGCCAGACAAATCATAACCTCTAGCCATCATTCTGTGTCGTGTCCATAGTACCAAAGTTGACTTAGAGATGCCTTTTTTATAAAGTTGCCATTCTCATTTGGATATTTGTGCCAAATAAATAACAATTATTGAAATTTTTAAAAAAATTAATTCCATTAGTCAAAGTAATGTCTATTCTGAGTCTTGAGACAGAAAGCTTGAGGGATTCTCAAGAATTAGGTGATAATCCTGATATACTTTGAATGTAGTGGTTCACTCCCTTCAAGGGGGCACAGGTGAGTTTAATAAACAAGTAACCTGAAATACCCATTTTTCTTTTGGTAAGATCGTATTAGTAAAGAATATGTCTCATTTTTTATTAAAAATCTGTATAGAAAATAGTTTTAAAGTAACATGTATATAAAATGATGCAATCTGAACTTCGGTAGAAAATTGCAAAAATTCATGATCTGAGTCAGTTAAGACAGCAAAAATATCAAGAGAGGTAACACCAGTCTGAGGTATTTTTTCGAGTTTAAAATTCCCAAGTACTTTGGAAAGTTTGGGTTACCTCGTATTGATAAACAGTTATTACCAATTTTAATTGTCTCTGTAAAAAAAGAGCTTTGCTGTATAATAGATACAGAACACAGAAACATAGTGTGCACTGATTCCTAAGTAAAAAAAATGATGTAATTAAAAATGTAAATCAGATCTTCAACAAGTGCATACAAATCACAAGAAGGAAGCCACATGTCTTGGAATCAGCTAGAGGTTTCATTATTACAGTCATCAGCTTCTTTACTGGGATGTTGGCTACCAGGTAGGAGCTCTGGAGGCAAGATTTTAGAATGACCATTCTCAGTAATTCGCTGGGTATAAAACAGGATATAAGCTTGGGCCTTGCATACTTCATCCATGGTACAGATACTTAACTTGGAATCATTGCAGTGTACCCAGAACCCTCCTTCAGAATTATAGCAGTAGGCAGTGTAGTGTCCAGAGCCAAATCCTTTGCCATGGTGCATGACAACAGCAGATAAATCGTAGATAAAACATTCTGGTCTGAGGGATTTAAGAGTCTCCTTGCAGCAATCCATGTTTAAAATTTCCTCAAAGCCAACATGAACACCAATCTTTTCTCGGTTATTACATCCCGACCACCTGAATCGTTTGAGATGCAGTCTGAGAACCTGAGGTAGATGGCATATCATTAGCTGTTTCTGAGCCTCTGTGAGTGTAACTGCCTTTGAGGAAAACTTCCTCTGCTTTGAGTTACACTGGTCACATATGTAGATTTTTCCCTCTAAAGCTTCAGTTTCTGTGAATTTGGCCAGCATTTCAGTAACGAGGCATGGTTGAGAAGCACAATCTTCCACTACACTGGTATCTTTCTGGAAATTCCAGTGACAGATCCCAGAAGGGTTCTATGGTATTTGACTTACTGTCACACGCAAAACATGTAACCTGACTCAGAAGTTGTCCATGAAAAATGTTGTTCACAACACTCAGAACCTGTTTGATGAGTTTCCCTTGAGAAGTAGGGAGAAGAGCTGGGAACCTAGTATCAATCATCTCTAGTTCATGTTGTATTTTGTCCAAAAGTTCACAAAGAAATTTCTGAGCATCTTGCTGGGCATATCCCCGAAAGGCAGGGATCAGTCTCCATACTGAGTGCAGCATAGCAAATGGTGAGACCAAGGCCCACTTTCCAGACCACATGACTTGGAACAAAGTATGCAATTCATGACAAAGAGACATGTACTGTGAACTTGGCACCCTTGGCTGAATAAGTTCCATCTTTCTAATTTTTGATGTACCACCACTTAGTTCTGATAAACTTGGATGTCTGGAGCCACTAGAACCTGTCTCTTTTCCCTGGCATTCATTTATTTGAAACATGGTATCTGTGATTGATAAAGGCGTGTAAGCAGCTCTGGTCTTATCACTAGCAGTCACAGCCAGCCACTGGTTCAGATCAAGCTTTAGAAAATATTGGAGACTGTCATCACAGGAGTCTAGAGCGAGGGCTACATGGTGGAGGGGGCCTGGGGGAGGGTTTGTAAAACAATGAAAGAATCTTTTCTTTTACTTTTCCATAATTTTTGACTCATGTACTTATAACT